AGATGGGGCTCGTCAACCTGGGAAGGTAGCCCATCAGAAAGAAGGAATACTCTGATCCTAAACTTCTGCTGCCTTCAGGAGAAGAAAAGGCTAGGTAGTAAACCCTCCACAAATCAGAATTCAGATAAGTACAAATTTCAAAGGATGGCTATGTTTTTGTTATGTTTCAGAAAGTGCAACTTTGATAAGTTCAGCTTTCAATACATAAATCAACCCCCCGCCCCTACTGCTAATCCAGGAGTTGTGGGTGCATCGCTTTCTTTCAGTGTTGCTTTAGAACACTGGTTTAGTGGGACTTTCCAGGGTAAATTTCCACAGGGCTCTTTTCACATATTGCTTACATGTGTTTAACCAGACCTTCCAAAAAAAACAATGCCTTTTGGTCTGGCCAGCTGACTTGCACCAGACCAAAATACAGGACATTCCAGGATCCAATCAGAAGCCGGGAGTGGCTTCTGTAATTCCAGGATGTTCCACTTAAATCAGAACAGTTGAGTAGTATGGTTTAACTATTTTTCTACGTGGCCTGAAGAGAAGGTTGGCTGAAGCCTGCCCCATCTCCATTGGAGATAGGAATAGCCATTGTTCCAGGGCATGTCCCACCCGCCAAATGACTGCAACGTGTTGACACGGAGTCTGGCCAGAATGCATTTTTTTAAAGAACTTCTTCCACCTTTTCTGTTTTGTGTCAAGCACCAAGCAAGGAGAAGACCCTTCAAGGTGAGAGTGGGCAAAAGGTAGGCTGGGATCTACTTGTAGAGTGCTAGATCATTTACAGTAGATCAAAAAGAGTTTAAAAACAAAAAGGCAGTTTTATTTTCATACTTATGCAGCCGCCGCCACCATTGAAGAAAACTAGTTTGTTAGATTCTCTGATCTGCAGTAATTCAGATGGATGCCCTCCAAGTCATCTGATTCCAAGCTATTCTTTTGAATCTGTCTCCAGGGAATGCACCATGAAGTTCTGGATTACAACAAAGTAGATCCCACAAGCCTAAAGTCTGCCCACCCCACCTGAAGACATTTGAGGTGGTTGGAGAAAAGAATTGCAACTGTGGGGAGCAGGGGCCCTGCCCCAGCTTTTCCAACGAAGTGCGTGTAAAACACTGCAGTCTTAAGCCGTAAGGCAGATAAAACTGACAGAAGTGATAAGTTCAATTTTAAATTGGTGCTTGCCTGCTTCATTCATTGCATGTGCCTGGGAATTGCGAGAGAACGAGCATTCAGTGCTTCTCATTTAGATTACAGTCATCTCCTGATTAAATCTCCTTCTGAACAGCAGTATATTGTAACTTTTTAAAAAAATAAAGTATTGATGGCTACGAAAGCAAATAAGCTCTCATTTTATTACTTAAATCACTCTCATAAATCTTGCCAAAGAGGAAGTTCCTGTTTCTTCAGCTTTCCATTTGGCGTCCTTGAGAAAACAATCGGAACGACATTCACAAGAAATCTACAGTCACTTGAGTTCCTACTCCCTTGCATCTTGTTTAGTCTAAACATGTTATGGGAAGAACCTGCTGGCCTCCCTTGATGCAAAATCTACCAACTGGAATCTCTTTGTAGGAACTTTTTAAAGGACTTCATAATTTGCAAACCAACTGAAGAGTCATTTAAGGCTATACAACGGAGGGACCCACCAGACACCCTTTTTCTTGCGCATTCATGATGATTGGGGTGCATGACGGCATCAGGGCACTTATGCGCAATCCCACTTCCAACACTGTCTGCACCTGCAAAAGTCTGGGGGTTGGACATGGTGCTTTGTTCCCAGTGGGTGCATGCCTCATTGACGGCATAATTTGTGACAGTGGGGAAAGTTTTCAATTAGCAATCATTGTGCCTTGGATTAACCTCATGGTCTTGTTGAAGTCCTGTAACTCTGCATACCACAAATATTCAGGGTCGGGTGCCTGTGGGGGAATAATAAAGTGGAATGATGCGTAAATGCGCCAGTATAAATCCAGCACAACTATTGTTCTGTTATTGACATGTCTGTGTACACACCATACGTTTAAAGCACCATGGTACCACTTTACACAGTCATGGCTTGCCCCAAATAATTCCGGGAGCTGTAGTTAAGGGTGTTGAGAGTTCTTAGGAGAACTCTGTTCCCCTCACAGATCTATAATTTCCAGAATGGTTTAAGAAATCCCTCTTCACAGAAAATTCCAGGAATTGTAGTTTTGTGAGGGGAATAGAGGCCTCCTAACAACAATCACTGGATTTTCAATGGGTCTGCCCCAAGTATAACTTTGTTAAACACCACCCTTTATATTTTATTATTGGATTGTGGTTTCATATTCTACACAACGATGGAAATTGATCTTGTAAGGCTGACTTTAAAATCTCATACAGAGTAAGAATTACAAAATGAGAAGGATGCAAGTGCAGAACCATTTTGTTTTGATTTTTTGAAGAGAATACTTCTTGTACCACAATGCGGTAAAAGACCAGCCATTCCAATCTGTTATCATTACTGTCCATCAAATCAATCCATGGATTGTGGCCTTCAGAATGAGATCCTCTTCCAAACCAATGGGGGGGGGGACACTGCTGGAAGGAAACACTATATTTCTCTCAACTTCAGAGATTTCCTCACCTCTCAGCACAGGAAGTTGTTGCTGCAGCTCACCTGAGAGACTTCCTGTTATGTAGCCATGGAATGGTTTTGCTCAAAGGAAGTTTTGGAGAATGATGTAATCTTGGAGAGCCCTCCATCGTAGTAATTCTACTGGTGACCTGGTTGCAGCCCACAGTGTTATTACAGTCCTGTGGCTTGTGTTTATATCACAAGGGAGAGAGGGAGTGGGGAAACAGGAGCAGAATAATTTCAAAAGAAAAGAAAAAAAGAGCTTCCAGATTTCCTTTGCTTAAATGAGCTCTTTTCCTTTTCCATATTATGTGACCACGCAGTCCTGGCGCCTAACAGATGCAGTCTGTTCAGATGAACTTGGGGGACAGCCCATAAAAATCCAAGGTTGACCCATGAACTAGGATGAGCAGCGAGAGTTGTTGAAAAGCCTGAAAACTCCTTTACCAAAAGGAATTTGCCCTTTGTTCTCCGGATAAAGCTGGGGGGAAAGAATGCACAGGCGAGAGATATTAACGCATCGTGGTGTACACGCGCCCCAGCGTACTCTACGAATGTTCAGAGGGGCTGGTGATTTCTGTTCCAGTTCTCACTTGTGAGTGAACTGACAACTTTGCCCATCTTGCTGGAGACATTTCCCTGGCAGAGAGAATAGAAAAGGAGGGATGGGGAGGAAATTGAGTTCACATCTAAAGGCGACTCGATCAAATCCACACTTCCCGAAACGATGTACAAACCAAAACACGACCATCTTTAGACATCGGCACTTGACTTCTCAATTTTGCAGTGCAGTTTTCCTGTCAAGGAACATGTACAAAAATGCTATGGTAATGTGTGTAGAAAATTGCATATTAACATGAAAAAAATGTGTTATATGTGGAGAAACTGCTTTACAAAAATGTCTGTCAGGCAAAATTGCATGCCAAATTGTGTATGGGGGTGGGACCGCACTAAAAAGCTGCTAAGTTTTCATGAGGACTTAAATTTGAAAATGTAGAGGACGGAATTTAAGACCGGTAAAATGAGAAACTGAGATTAATATTGATAGATCCGCCCATCCCTACTGAAAAATATTCTTTTCTTTGCTGTGCGACCCTTCTCAAAGTTGTGGGCTTCATCTTTCACTTTGAAAAGTGGGTTTCTCTAACCCGTAACCAGTTGCTGGAGAGAACTGCTTGAGGCTGCGATGACAGCAAGTCTCACTTACACATGCAAATATATAGCAGGTGGTAATCCTAAGGCTTCAATCCTTGCCAAACGTCCTGGGGAGAAAGCAACACTGGGAATTACTTCAGAGAAAATGTACACGGGATCAGTTGATGTGCAGAGCCTGCGACAAAAATGGGAACTCCAAAAAGGGTTAAGGAAGCAGAAGCAAGAAGTAGCACTTCTGAATTCTGAACCACTGTTCTCTGAATTTCCCTGAAGAAGGACCAGTAGGGTACGAAGCACAGAACTTCATATTTGTCTACCCCCCACCCCCCAGTTGTGGGTTGTTATTTTTCTTGTTGTTTCTTGTTTGCTTCTACTTCCCGTCTGGAAGCTGCAGCGAGCACCAAAGGTGCAGAAACCGTTTCTGTAGGTATGGTCGGAGTGAAGTTTAATTCAGTTCACATTTTAAAGGCAAACTTACCCAACACACACTTTCTGAGGGGCAAAGCGAAACGCAGCCAGCCTTTGAAATCAGCCCTTTTGCAATGCAGTTTCTCCAGCCAAGTGACGGGCACTAGTGCACTAGTGCAAAGTGTGTTTCTATAATGTGTGCAATAGTGAAAATAACACACGGGTGTGCATTATATAAGGAGAAACTGCTTTGCCAAAATGTGTCTGTTAGGCAAGGCTGCATGCCAAAAACGTGTACGTGAGGTGAAAATTCACATTAAGAACTAGTTCCTTTAAAAAAAATTAAAAAAAAGCAAACTGATGAAGAAACGCAGAGAACTGAACTTGAAGAATGAGAAACTGAGAGATGCTGAAATGGACATATTTGCCCATCCTTACCCAGAGAGAGCAAGACACCTGAAACCCACCATGCTGGTCTTTCCATGTGCTGCCCTGGGATGTAGCAGTCTTCTGAGTACATCAAAGACCTCCCCCAAAGCTTTCAAAAGATTGGGCTTGCACAAGAGAGAGCACTTCCTAGTTGCTTATAGTGAACTGAAGGAAGGGTGCCTGCACCAAATATCAACAGGGTACATGCCAACATGCGGGTGGTGACAGCTCCCAGCTCTGGAACGCCTTTCCTTCAAAGCCAAAGCAACTCTCAGAGGCAATGTTGAAAAGCATCTTCTGCAGCACGCACTTAGCAATCTGGGAACAGTGCAAGAATATCCTCATGGCAGTTTTTATCTCTGAAGACTTTGAATTGGTACCCCCTGTGAGTTATAAATTTAATAAAACAAAAGCATTTTTTAAAAAGAAAATCTCTTTATTTAGATAGAAATATCAACTTTGAGTGCTTTATTTCCCCCACTCCCTTCCCTCAAAACATCTGCAGCCCGCAGTATCGTCTCCTTTTTTTCTCCCTCTGGCAAAATTACCAACATGTTTTAAGTATCAATGGCAGAACTACCATGGTTTTTATGGACTTAAGCAGTTGGTGGGCCTACAACCCACCTGAAACAGCTTCTTAGTGAACAATCTGTTTGAAAAGAGCGATTGTTTTCCAGAAAAGGACAGCCATCTTCTTGTGGACAGCCCATACATGTAGTCAGAAACTTGCCCACAGCAAGTGCCATGGAATTCAAAATGGTAGAATTCTGTTGCATATGGAAGGCTTCCAATGTGCTTCTTAGTGAAGCAATTTAAGATGACCCCATTTCAAATCTAAGCACGCCAATTTGGAGGCTCTCTCCTCCTTAGGAGGGATGCACATAGGTAAGACCCAAACACATATTTATTGGGTGTTTCTGAATGAAGAAACAGGGCGGCAGTGGAATCTAGGAGGCGGCAAAACGACATTTTTCAGAATTAATATGCACATGCAAATAGATCGTGTGGTACACGATTCCATTTTGCAGGTGGGATCCTGCACGGTTCAGCATTCCCACATGAAAAAAGAAAAAGCCAAAACATAACACCACAACTGTCTTTTCCCATTAAAAAAAAGCCCTTCTTTAGCTTTGCAGGGAGGGGAGGTGGGCCGGCACTAATGCTTGATATGTTAGCTTTCCATGGTGACAGAATCACAGAACTGTAGAGTTGGAAGGGACCCCAAGGGCCATCTAATCCAACCGCCCCCGCCCCGCAATGCAGGATTCTCAGCTAAAGCATCCATGACAGATAGTTGTCCAACCTCTGCTTAAAAACCTCCAAGGAAGGAGAGTCCAAGGAGGTTCTGAAATGGGAAAGCATCCCAAAGGTTCCCCACCTGCAATCTGAGATGAGACAGGTAATGAATTCCATAGCACTTGATTTTTATCTGCCTGTACAGATGAGACCTAAAATAGCCTAAACAGGAATGTGGCAGCTTTGTTAAATATATATATATATATATATATCCAAACATTTATATCTGCACACTTAGTCAGCATCTTCTTGCCTTGCTCCAAGTTCAACTACTAAAGCAATCATGATCAGGCTGAGAGATATCCTGTCTTGTAGTGACTTAAAACATGTAATTCACTGGAGGTTAGAGTTAGTGCTTTAAAACAAGCATTGCCAACCAACGTACACAAGATAAGAGTAGCCAGATTGCCCTCTTCCATCTTTTGACAGATGTTAGGCAATCATTCTGGAGTTACATTACATAATGCTATGTACGCCCCCCTCACTCAGCAAACATACAGAGATATACATGTTACATGTCAAGTTTTGCAGAAACACCATAGCATTTTATTTAGCATATGTTATTAATAAGTTATTCTTCTCCCCGTTCCCCAACCTCAGCTGCGTCTAGCTTAGGGAAGGAGTACATTGACACTATAAAAAGAGGGGGAGGGCTATTTCCAGCTGGCATATGCAAGAGGAGCTTGGCATGTACAACAGGAGTGCCGCAACTCCGTCATGACTTACAAGAGAAACACAAAAGGTGCATTCCATTATACGTAATTCCCAAGTACTCAAACCAGATGGGATCACGAACACAGGTCGCCACCAAAAACTTCCAGTTCTGTGTTGAGCTCCCCGTTCCCATGCATTCGTCACCCCAATCCCAAATGGCTGCCAAAAACATGAAAAGTGGGGTGAAGAAATGTACAGCATTGTTTCTCCAAAACAGAACAAAGACAGAGAGTGGGGCATGATCAGCATCACATCTCATCCTGGCCAAAAAGGACTACTAAATACAGTGCCCATCAGTGTAGACCACACCTTAGTTTGGCCTAGTCCTCAATTCTGGCTAAAACTGTTCTCTCTTTGATGCCTTTCCAGTCTCCAACTTTATTCATCCTTGCCCAGAAGATCCGAGAACCTTTATGATGGCAGCCAGCCAAGAAAGGTATCTGTAAACATGGGCCGTGGACTCATCGCACCTTATCACTTTGTTAATTCCGCCCAGTCGATGGGGGCAAAAAAGGGGTGGGATTTTATGTCTTCAACTCCAGCGATTCCAGCACCAAGACGCTCCACAGCGTTGAACTGCAAAAGCTTAAGGCAAAATATACAGAGTTAGTATGAACCATAGGAATAAAAGTGCTCAGCAAGCCTACCAGAACGGACTTGGTACAGTCCGTGAGATTGTGTTTATGATTGTATCATTCCTGTAAGCTTCCCAGAGATCTTAGCTATTGAGCAGCATACAAACTAGGGAAGACATTCAACAAATGGGGAACTAGAATAAATAAGGTCCCATCAGGGATCACTTCCAACTGGGCAACTCCCAGTGGCAGCGGCACCAACATGTGCTCTGCCCATCATAGGGCCTGAGATGGCTGGTAATGGAGAAGATACTTTGGTCCCAAGCTATTCAGGGGCAACTTCTAATTCCTTCCCTGAATTGCTACTGTCTTTGCCCTAGCCAACTAGTTTTGAATTTTGTTCTTTCTTCCATTATATCTGAGCCCTTCTTAAGCTTCACTTTGTTGGTACCTGCCTGCCTCTCTGGTTCGTAGGGCAATTCCACGCACTGTGTGGGAGCAGACACCAGGTGCAGGCTCAACAGGCAGCCACTGCCAGCCTTCGTCCCCCATCCCTGATTATGATGAACATGCCAATTACAACCCCCATCTTAATGAACTTCATTCTTGTTGCAGCCACACTTTTAGGTGTACGTTTCAAAATGAGGGAGGGGGGAGAGTAATGTGCAAAGGAAGTCTTTGTAATCTTTAGAAACCAGTGATGCTCTAAAACCAAGTCTAAAGGAAATGGAGCAGCTGATTGCCAGAATTATGAAAACTAAGCAGCTTGTTTATTTTGCATTGAAGAACTTACAATATATTCAAGGGGGGGGGAGCTGAATATATGTAGAAAGTGAAGCCAGCTCTTCATATCTGCAAATTCTGATGGAGAATGATTGCTTGAAAGGAAGTAACCAGCAAAGAGGCAGGAAAATATTTACCAAGGATAAAGGAGCTGAAGTTTACATTTTGCCATCTTATGAGACTGTCGCATTCTAAATAAACAGTTCAAAAGAATAAATTCGTTTCTGGGTTTCCTCTAAAGGACTGACTCCTGTATAATGCAACTCCCTACATCCCATTGTCATTTAGTAGTGCTCTGTATTCTTCTGGGTGGTGCGTCTTCAAATGCATACAACCCCATAATCAAAGTGAGAAATTTCCCCATAAAATGTATTCATTTGCACATCTTAAGTTGGCTCTGCCACTTAAAATCTCTCAAACCTCTCACTTGGTAGAGATAACTCGGAGAGCAAAAACAAGCCTCTCCTTTGTGAATATACATGAGCCGACAGAAAAACAGTCGCAGGCATTGCCATTCTGCTGTCCTTCCTGCAAAACGGAACAAGTGACAGCAGGTGGGAAGTAAGTGCAAAGAAAATTATGCTCTGAAGCTTTCTCCCCTTTCTGCAAGGAGAGAACTATAATCTTGGAAAGCAAATGCAGAATAAATTGTGCTGGATCTACATGGCTGGGAAACACACGGGTTTATTATGCTTTGCCGAGACAACCTTTGAGAAAGATCTTGTGGACAAAATGCCAGTCAAGTCAGCCCTTCCAAACTTCATCTAAAAAGATTTAGACATCCAAATATAAATAATAGCAGCTCTGAATTACAGAATACTTAGTTGGCTAAAGGGGGGGAGAGTGTGATTTTTTTCTTTTTTTTAATGAGGTCACTGGTTTTGGAAGCTGTGTCATGAGACACATTTGGCATAGCATCTGCACACTGTTCCTCTCCTAGGCATTCTGCAACAGGCTGACCCAAGCAACCCTGCGAGGGGATGGAAGAGGAAAATTACAATGACAAATGACCAGCCATGCCAAGAGCCCCTTTTTCCTTTTCCTGACTAAGCTTCCTCAAATATGAATGGTAGTTTCCTTGGATAGACACACAACAGAAGGTTGATTTACTAGCCAATGGGGCATAGCCTTCGACCCAAAAGTCAGCCACGTGCAGCCTAGGGCTGGAACGCTTCCTCTAGGACACGGGTGGCTTTGAACTTGGAGAGGAGGGAAATAGCAAATGGCCTGGCTTAAGAGGTCCCACAGGAGCTGAGGACTGCTATGTGTTGCTTTAATAAAGGTCTCCAAGATGCCAGTGGTAAAATTCCATTTATTTTCAATCTCTGTGTGTGCAGAGGGGAAGCACTCAGCCTTCTATGAGATTTTATGTACTGGATGAGCATAGTTATGAAGTGTTACATTCACTGTGGTACTGTGGACAGGCTGCTATTGGTAGCAGCAGCAGTATTGTTATTTTACTACTCCTATTAATATTATTATTAGTATTAGTATTATTTCAGTTTTTTACACACCCTTCATCATAAGGTCTCAGGGCAGGCTACAAAAATTTCATCATCATCATTATTTATATCCCACCCATCTGACTGGGTGGCTGAGTCAATATTCAATTCAATATTAAACAGTTCAGTTCAATATTAAAACAGTTTAACTCATACAAAAGGTGCAGGACTAGGGAGAGTCCTGAATGTATATATATGTCAGGTGTCAAAGGGGTGGATCACCCACCTCGGATCAACTATTAAAGACCTAATTTTTTTTTAAAAAATCACCTGATTTTCGCAGTAAATTCAGGCCACAGTTATACTTGCCATGACCACAGCTGTGAAGGTCCCTTATGCCAAACCCTCAACAACTCTTTAACCTCTTTCCAAGATGAACCACCTTCACTTACAAAAATGGTCAGGAAATGCATGTCCATTTGCAGCTCTACACATTTTTATGGCTATGTGCCTTTTGCAGGCCATCCTTGTTAATCATTCATTTCTCAGCTCCTGGCTACGCTCCCCACCCCCCACTTTTAAAGGACAGGTGTAGTTCTAGTTGCTTCTGTCTGTTTCATAGAATCATAGAGTTGGAATATACCACAAGGGCCATCGAGTCCAACCCCCTGCCAAGCAGGAAACACCATCAGAGCACTCCTGACATATGGTTGTCAAGCCTCTGCTTAAAGACCTCCAAAGGAGACTCCACCACACTCCTTGGCAGCAAATTCCACTGTCGAACAGCTCTTACTGTCAGGAAGTTCTTCCTAATGTTTAGGTGGAATCTTCTTTCTTGTAGTTTGGATCCATTGCTCCGTGTCCGCTTCTCTGGAGCAGCAGAAAACAACCTTTCTCCCTCCTCTATATGACATCCTTTTATATATTTGAACATGGCTATCATATCACCCCTTAACCTCCTCTTCTCCAGGCTAAACATGCCCAGCTCCCTTAGCCGTTCCTCATAAGGCATCGTTTCCAGGCCTTTGACCATTTTGGTTGCCCTCCTATGGACACGTTCCAGTTTGTCAGTGTCCTTCTTGAACTGTGGTGCCCAGAACTGGATACAGTACTCCAGGTGATGTCTGACCAGAGCAGAATACAGTGGCACTATTACTTCCCTTGATCTAGATGCTATACTCCTATTGATGCAGCCCAGAATTGCATTGGCTTTTTTATCCCAGTGTGTTTGCTGGGATGCTCAAGAAAGAAAGAGAGTATCTGTGGCCAAAAGGTGCAGTTCATTCCACCAAGACAGCCCACAGACCTCTGAGCACACTTCTCAGATTTTTAGTTCATGGGGGCTCCCAAGTAGATGTTAAACACCCCTAAGGACTTTCCAGAGAAGATGGCACAAACAGACATGATGCATTCACAACATTAATAGCTGCATGTTTTCCTAAAAGTAAATGCCAGAGGCCAAAGGAATAATCAAGGATTATGACTGTGGTGTAAGAGGAATGAAGCATTAATTCTGGGGTGGGGAGCCTCAGACCTAGAGGCCAAGTGCAGACTTCCAGGCCCCTCTGTTGCTGCCATCTCGAGGCCACACCCCTTTCCCAGGCCACACCCCTTTCCCAGGCCACACCCCTTTCCCAGGCCACACCCCTTTCCCAGGCCACACCCCTCAGTGGTTCTGCTGTGCACCCTCCTTGAGTGCTTTCACTAGGTAGATTAGGTTCTTGAACCCTTGTTAGCCTAGATATAGAACAGAGGGGTGTGGGGCACTGTGTGTAGAAACCAGCCTGCTGCACACAGGTGCAATTTTCATTTGCTCCTCCACCCACTTTTACCTCTGCACTTCCTGCCATTGGTAGGTGGCCCCCTAAAGGCTGCCCAGAAGGGAGTGTGGCCCTCGAAATGTAAGAAGTTCCACACTCCCTGCTTTAATGCCTTGCCTCTGCCGTGAGTCTGATCTGGATCAGGCTCTCCCATAGCTTCCATTTGTAGCTTCTACTTGAGTGGGAAGCTCCCACTGGTTGCAGTCCTTGCTCAGTTGAAAACATGGGTCGTGTGTGTGTGTGATATCAAAGGTTTACACCAACCTGGGGCCATTCAGATGTTTTGGACTACAATTTCCATCAGCCCTTGCCAGTATGGCTGTGACAAGCAAGGGGTTGTTGGGAGTTGTTATCCAAAACATCAGAAGGGAGAGCCAGGTCAGCGAAGGTTGATGCAGACCCTTTAACAAAGAATCACCAGCTGGCATGTATGTGTGTAGAAATCGCATATACAAATTCTCCAGGAACGTACCTGTTGAAGGAGTGATCTTGCCTCTTCTGAGATGTGATCTGGCACGTTCAAACAGGTGTGGGTATTTATTCCTGCTGGGTGGCACTCCAGCAAAGTCTATAGCAAACCAACAAGAAACATGATAATGTTGTTAATGTATATAGTGATATAATGATGTAAAAGAAGAGTAATGTGCACCACAGTGCTCTGCTACAGAACCTCTGCACATGTGTCTCCAAAACAGTTGGCTTTGGGAGTTTGATCTGCTGAGAGATCAATGTGCATGCTCAGAATCTCATTTTACATTCAGAGATGGAGCTGGACATGGTTCGACTTAGCATGCCATCGTGAATCAGGCTCATGGGTTAGCTCTAACCAGCAGAATGACTGAAGAGAAGCAGAACAGCCCTGATTTCCTCTCCTAGCACCTGCACATGTTAAACCATGGTTTGGCTTAGTGTGGCGTGCAAACCAGATTACTTTCTTGCCTTTTTCTGTTCTCTGTCTTCCTAGACTTCTACAAAGTCCCCAAAATGCAAGAGTCAACATAAAAAAATATACAGGAGTTAACATGATATATCAGCAGACTGTGTATAATGGTCAGCCTGGAAGCCCACAAGCCAGTTAACCCCTAGTTTACATCCTGCAACATTCATTGTAAATTTTGCTCCGGTATGATACCTTTTCAAGAAGAACGTAACTTTTTCATTGTCCCTGGAAAGACCTTTGGTGCCATGAATCTTACGTTGTGAATTTAATTAACAGCGTCTACATTAACACAAGCAATGCTTCATTCTGTCCCAAGAATAGAGCATCCCTAGTGAGATGATCTAGCATCATGTTTGTCAGAATGCCTTTGCCTGTTGAAGAGTTCTGTGCAGTACAGAAGTATGCATCCTGCACTTCAGTTACTCTCAATAAAGAGACTGCTGATCTTCTCAAAGTTTCTGTTACAGTGGTACCTCGGGTTAAGTACTTAATTCGTTCTGGAGGTCTGTTCTTAACCTGAAGCACAACTTTAGCTAATGGGGCCTCCTGCTGCTGCCACGCCACCGGAGCACGATTTCTGTTCTCATCCTGAAGCTAAGTTCTTAACCCAAGGTACTATTTCTGGGTTAGCGGAGTCTGTAACCTGAAGCGTATGTAACCCGAGGTACCACTGTATTTGCTATGCCCCTTTTGCTAAATAATGGCTCACCTTCCCCGTCAGAAGTTCAAAGAGCAAAGCACCTAGACTCCACCAATCGCAGGCCTCCGTTTCTTCAAAGACAACGCCAACTTCTGAATGAAAGACATTTGCAATGAAAATCCAAGCGATGTGTGCACCTTGAAACTTGCATTTCCAAGGAGACACAGATGCTAGTGGAGCATATCTGAAGCTAAGCCCTTCAGAAAACCTAGTGCATAGACACGCATCATTACAGACAAAATGATTTACTCTTCAGTTTGGAATGTCAACAGAGGCTGCTGCTCCCTCCTAAACACCTCCTCCTCCCAGCCACACACCTTGAATGGCTTTAAAAGAGCATTAGACAAATTCACCGAGGATGAGGCTATCAATGGCACCTAGCCACAATGGCTATGTTTTCTCATCACTGTCGGAGGCGTTATGCTTCAGAATACCAGTTGCTGGGAATCACAGATGGGCAGAGTGCTATAGAGCTCAGGTCCAGCTTGTAGGGCTTCCCCCAGGAATCTGGCTGGCCACTGTAAGAATAGGATGCTGGACTCAATAAGCCACTGGCCTGATCAAACAGACTCTTCTTATGGGTTTATGTCAGTTCTCTCCACCGCAAATCTTTATGAAGAAGGATGAATTCCCCTGGCACATTGAAGGAAACAGTATGCCCACCATAGAATATCACAGTGTCCTGGGTGCATGAGTGTCTCTTTACATGAACGTGGAACTGGTAGTTTGTTGCCTTAATCTTGGTTAGCACTGCCCTCGCCCCACACAAAATACAGCAGATCCATGGTATATTATCAGTCTTCACATTAAGGGTGGGGAACCTATGGCCCTCCAGATGTTGCTGGAATCAAACTCTCAACAGCTTGGGATGATGTGAGTTAAAGTCCAACAACATCTGGAGGTGGTTAGCAAAAACAAAAACAAAACCCCACTTTGCAAAGTTTAAGCTGTGCCCTCTGGATGTTGCTGCTCTCCCAACATCCCTGACCATTGACCATATTAGATGAGCCTGATTGGAGCTGTAGTCCAAAAAGTTCTGGAGGGCCCACATTGGCTACCGCTAGTTTAGACATTCAGGCGTATCGCCCAACCAGGTTTACATGACACAGTAGTTGCACAGGGCCAATATGGGAACAACTCTTGAGAATACAGTGGGAATGTCTGCTCAAATGTGTGCCAACACTGAACCGAATGGGTTCAGCTCTTCCACACATGAGCAGGACGGGGACTAGTGTCTGTTGCAACTCCCTGCTGTTTTGTTCCAACAAACCATAGCTACAGACCATAACTACATAAGCATTATCGTTCAGTCCTTTTAGACTAGCTTCCTTCTATAAATTTTCTAAAAAACCTGATCAGTATAAAAAAAAAATATGTGCTGTGCTGTGTGTATCTTTTGTAATTTACAAACAATTAAAAGCTGTATTCAAACAACCACTTAATGCCCTTTCTATAGAGCCAAGCCCAATGTTAGCCACCCACAAAGTAGTGAAATCAAATAAGGCTGCAGTCCTAAGCACAACTATATAGGAGTGAGTCCCATTAACCTCTGTGGTGCTGTCAGGACAGGACTTTGGGCCCCAGGCCCAGGGCCCCACTCAGCAGAATAAGGCTGATTACCAGATTTTGTCAGTAAAGTAATACAGAATTCATTGTGCAGAGGGAGGTCCCCCATAAGACCTTAAAATCCTGAGTCTTAACTACCAGTACACACTCAGTGAGGCTTTGCCAGGCTGCAACATCAGAATGCTGTGTGTGTTACTTCTGAGCAGACACGCATAAGATTGCACTGTAAGAATCCAAACCTTTGCATGTTTACTCAATGGAAAACCCCACTGAGTTCAGTTAACATTCAAGATAAGCATGCAAAGATTTGCAGCCTTGAAGATCATAGATGTTTTGGCCAACTGGGTAGTCGCTCTTCGATATAATTTTATTTTACCCTTCCATCCCTCAGTATCTTCATTCTCCCTGCTTTGCCTCTCAGAGCTGGCTGTTTCTACATTCAGAATTAAAGTGAGAGACTTTCAATAATCAAGGAGACAGAGGCAGATAAACATTTGCCATATTCTCTCCCTTCCTTTGAATGGGTCACATAATGGCCACCACAACTTATTGATAGTAATAGGCTCGGTATAGCACATCAATAAGGGTACCTTTTCTCTCAATAAGGCATCCCAGGGGAGAAGAAAAAATCTAGAAAACTATAGATTGTGGTGTGATTTCACGTGATAAGTTGTCCAAGCAGCTAATGCCATTCTGCATGACAAAATTGCTCTCCCCAGCCCCCCCCAGCTTTAATGTTGCAGTAAATCTAATCCCAATACCCATTCTTAATAATGAAGCCATTTCGTTCACATCACCCAAGTCATTTACACAACAAATGGCAGCGTCATACAAGCTTAAGTGACCAGTTGCTTTGCTTTCCTATCACTGCAATTCGTTCCAACAGGTCTCTCCACTTAGTGGATACAAGCCATTCAGAAGTCATTCAGGGAAGAACGTGGGGCTATCTGGATTGAGAAGCAGGGGAAGATGCCATACTCCAAATCAGGTCATTGCTCCACCTACAGAACCCACACTGTCCTTGATCTTTGGACAGCCAACTTGGAGCTGTTCCTCAGCCTTGATTTTGATTTTCCCCATCCAGACGTCACAATGTGCTGAATTTGTCATCAGGTCATCATGCCAGGAATTCTCCGGATTGCAAGTCCTCTTCGGACTTTGTCTCCAACTAGCTGTGCTTCTTCCAGCTCCTCCCTTAATTTTCATCGGACAAACACTTTTGTAACTTCTTTTTTAATCCACATTAACCATCAAAATGTTTCCTGCAAATTTTGTACTCAGTTATGTTTCTCATATGCATCCAGGAAGCTCTGACAACAAGGAAAGTCTGAAAAATATGAAGCATTTCATTTCAAAACATACAAGCATCTACATTCTGCTTTGTGAAATAAAAATTAAAAACCCCTGTGTCCTTTAAGACAAAGACTAACGGCAATAGAAGGAATCCTTCTTTTTCTTCCTGTTAGCTGGCCTCAGGATGGATTTAAAACTTCCTCTAAACCCATCTGGCAATATAAAAAGGACAAAGTTGTTTAGTGCCGTGTTATCAAAGATGATAAACACTCACTCCTAGCCTGCCCTTTAGCTCCTTTCAATTATATAGAAGAGCAACTACCCCACCCCAAACCATAGAACTACTACATTCAGGTCTTGTGACCTAATAAGTGGCTCCCTTTGAGAACTACGGCTTCATTTTAAATGTGGATTGCACTTTGTTCCTGGTGCCTTGAAAAATACAAAAAGAGTAATTTGCTGTATGCAATGTTTAAGAATACAGCACTTAGAATCCATTTGCTCTTCCGACAATAACAGTGTGGAATTCGTAGATCGAAGATCAAGCATGCCAAACCAATATTTGGACTCTCCAGTGCTCACATAAAGCTTCACTGCCAATGGGCTCCCCCACTCATTTCAATGGAGGGTCAATTCTCTACATACAGAACTGGCTCTCTTTACTGATGCTCCATGTGTACCTAGGTCTCTGGATTATCCACCTCCCCTGTAAAAAATATTTCTATGCAAATAGAACTCCATTTTCCCCTACAACTTTTCTTTCTCTGAAGTGCCGAAACGTGCGAGTCAATATGACTTAACTTAAGGGCACAAAGGTTTGTTGTTCAGTAGCAACAAGCCCTAAAATGTATCGCAACAGAGTTTTGAAAGGCATTACTTGGTAAGGGCCAAGGATATCTCACCTGACCTGATGTGTCACTTTCTAAACACGTGATGTGCTGATACTCAACCTTGCCCTGAAATACAAGCCCGCTGAACGGGAAGCCCTATCCCATAATCCTAGATGTATAGAGAATAACTGAGGGTGTTCAGCAGGGAGGAGGGGGGTGGTACATACATCCAGAGAGGAGCTTTTTCCCACCTAGCTGACAGGTGACAGAAAAAGGTCTCGGCTAAAACTGATGATGCCAATAATCTAGGAAACAAGGGGAGGAATCATAGCCGAGTAGTAAAGCACACATCGCGCATGCAGAAGCCCCTAGGTTCAACTCTTCTTATCTCCAATTAAAGGGAAAAGTGGCAACACTGGAAAAGGACTTTCCCAGGGATCTCAGATTATTCCATTCAGTACTATGGCAGATGGAACACTGCTATGACTCCGCATTGTATGTGGTACCCTGGCTTCTGACACCTGACAGGTATCTTTTTAGGACCTGCCTTGTTTTTGTCATTTTGTTCTAAACTGTTTCTAATATTTTGAAATATGGTGCTTTAATATTAATATTGTGTTTTAATTGTTGTAAGCCTCCCTGGGAACTTAAGGTGAAAAGCAGGTAATAAATGATAATAAGAAGAATTTCTTTCACATGACAAGTGTCCTGATATTGACAGCAAGATCCTCTCTTGGAACAAATTAAGCGCTGATGTCCAGATTGAGGGTAGCCTTGACTAGGCTATAGCTCCTTGCAGATAAGAACAAAAGGATCAGCTAGCCTCCCCTGAACCAAGTCCCCAAACTGCAGTTTTATAAACTTTGTATTGTTTGTGAGCTAGCAGCAGCTTATACCTTTTGCCTTGTTTTGCTGCCAATGACTCAGCGTTCAAAACTCCCATTGTTCTAGGCGCGTTTTGCGACAGGGAATTTCATAAACGCGAGCAGTTTTATAGCTCTGGGTGCAGTACTGCGCCTCAGATTTCAGATTCAAGTTGCCGCCGTTACTTGGAAGTAAATCCCAGTCAAGTTCAATGGGGCTTCCTCCCAAGTAAAACATGAATAGATTGGGGACCTGAAACTTTCTTTTCTTTTAACCCCAACATGTCTTGTTTAGGTTTTGGTTGCCTTGTTTAATGTACTTTTAATGTATGATGTGCTTTTAATCTGAAATATACTAGCCAGTTAGTTATGATGGTTTAATTAGTGCATGTTAAAGTATTATCTATCTCAGACTCTCACAGTGATGCTTAAAATCCAAACAAATTTTGGACTGGGATCATTGAAGGACCCTTAAGTCTTAGGTTTGAAAACTGGACACTCAAGGTGGGTGTCTCTGCCATCAGTTGTATAGGCCTTTAA